GGTTGCAGAAAAGAAGCTGCAGATGTCACAGGTGCTTGAGGACAGGACCCCCCCCCCCCCCCCCCCCCCCCGCAATATAACCCCCGGGCCTGTTAGACTTTTTTCACATAAATTATATATGAATGACACATTTGTGATATAATATATCCTATCCATTTAGAAAATTTGCTTAAATAAACATTTTATAAAAATTTCTACCCCACTCTCTATATATAAATTAACCCTTGTTGATTTTTATATACAATGTAGGGTAGATTTTATAGAACATTTGTTTTAGGTAATTCTTCGATTTGTTGGTATAGATCTTATCACAAATATGTCAATGAAAGATTATTTATGAGAAAAAAATTGAAAAAGCCCAGGGGTCTATTTCGAAGGGGGGGGGGGGGGATGCTGTCCTCAAGCACCTGTGGCAGATGTTTAAATGTTAACACACGATGTACACCGCACGACGACAGATGAAACAGATAGCAAAAATTTACGTATTCAGGTTAAATCAGGTGCCCTTAAAAAAGTGAGCATCTGTCTCTTAACCAGGCGTTCGGCACTTTGAAGTGAAAAGTGCATGGTTCCTTTGGAAACAAGGCTTTGTGACACGGCAGGCGTTGGCATTATAAAGCTCGCTGTTCAATGACACTGATTGCAGAGCAAAGTTCTAACATTGAAGCCCTTCACAGATTTATTGTGACGAATCTATATGGATTAAATATTTTAGAACCAGGGTGAAACGCTGTTATCGGGACCTTAGTAGCACTAGTACAAAATATCTAATTCTAAATCTTTCGGATCGATCACTGTACGTTATATAAATGAAACAAATGGAGATAACGAACAGTATTCAAGATCAAAAGTAAAATAAAACAATACAAAATAGGAGCAGAGCAAACAGGGGCCTCCGAAGGATCAGAGGTAGAATCAGGTGCCATGGGTGAGTGAGCATCCCCTGCCGACCGGTCACAACCGCCGTGTGCTCTTTAACATGATCGGGATATAACGGAAAAATCCGTCTACAATTCAGTGTATAAATAATGGACTAACAATTAGTATGAAAAACGTCAGAATGACAAATTGTATTTGCTGACAAGGTCATTGTATCGACCATAGAACTTACCAAACGATTACTTTAAACGAGACTAGCTGCTGATATTCTTGTTTCATCACCTTGTTTGTCAATAATTTACGTCGCTTTAGATATTGTTCATACGTAGCGCATGCTTTTGCGTATCTAATCAATTGAGATATATAAACTCCGTATTCAGGTGATGAAGGTATATTGCTGCATATGTATGGGAAGTTGACGGTTGTAACGTAAAAATGATTAGAAAAAAATGCGGCACATGTGAAGTAAATTTTGAACATTGTAGGTATTAATTCAATAAGATGAGTAATTGATAGTATTAAAAGTTATATAAAAGAAAAGAATGGGAGGACTTAACACCCTATTTTGGATCTTTTTGCAACTCGTCTACCAAGCTCTAAATGAAGTGAATCCATAATATATTACGAGCAATGGAAAGAGCTACATATACTTGGTTATATTAGGTGGATCATTTGTGCAAAAACAATGCCATGTTGTCATGTATCAAATTTGAAGCAACGATACATGAGTATCGTCTTCCGGAATTCGACATGTACCCATAGTGGTTTTTATGTCACATAATCAATATTTATAGGAGGCAGGGCTATCGATCGGCGTCATTGTTGACATCTCTCTCTATCCCTCTGTCTCTCTCCAGAAATTCGAATACGTGTTTAGCATATTACAGAGATGTCATTATTTTAAAAATGTGATGACACGCAAAATTAAAACAATATTTATTTTGCTAAATTCTGAAAACGGCAACAAACCACGCTCAAAGACATACTTTAGATCGAGGTCAGGTTGAGGAATACAATGTAACTGTTTTCACGAGTACATTCTCAGGTGGGCATCACATGATGAATTGTAATATTAAATAGGTCAATCGAAGACATAACAATGGAAGCGAGAAAGTTTCTTTCGAACATGTTTTTTGTTAAATTAAGTGTGAGCACACGTTTGTCGGCTCCTCTCCTTTTAATATAACATTATTTTGTTCAATATACAACTACAGTTTTCTTAAGAACAGCCGACAAACATGTGCTGACTATGTATTCAGACGATGAAAAACGCGTGACCCTGATTATCTATTGATATTCAAGAAATCTTCATGCACCATGCCTTCGATATTTATTTTACCTAGAAAAGGGCGTTTTAAGTTTACATCCGTACCATGAATACACGGTTAAGATATCGGGGGTTTATATGATGGAAAAAATAAACATTTTGTGAAATTTACGGCATTTTTTCTGGCCAGTTAAGTCCACCCATTCTTTCTTCCGATCTGTACAAATTATGTTTTTTTTAGCTTTGCAAATAAATTACTTAGTAATACATGCAGTGCTATTTATTTAGTTCATTCGATCTTTCATCTGATATGAGTTTTTCTGCAAACTCATCTTTCATAGGATTGTGAAACACCACTTTGAATTCACTTAATGAATTTAAAATGATGACTCAGAAAATACACGCCCATCTATTTCCTTCCACTTATACATTGTTAATGGAAAAAGATATATTTAAAGCGTTTTCATTTCCATGTCGCAGTGGCCAATTTAACTTATTCCGGATTTCATAAACAGGCGTTTCCCCTTTTCTCATAAATATACATAAAAAAGAAAAATAATTTAAGAAAAACTCTAACATCATCCAATTCTATGCCTATAGTTTAAAAATAATGTTTAAACTACAACCTATGAATATAAATCTTATTATGAAAGAAAACAAAAAAAATTACTCATTATTATTTTTTTTTTATTTGATTTGATAGTATACGAATAAATTATTTATTATTACCGGGCATTTTGATATCATAGACAACTTATCCTTCAATAAAAAACAATATCGTAAATTTTTACAGCTTAATTTTGAGTCATAGGAAGAAATGATATTGGACTTCAGGATGCCAAATTCTCCATTGAGACAAAGTTGCTCGAATTACAAGCGGGAACTGAATTCATTGTACTGGACTTTGAGGTCCATTTTGGGAAATGGTAAGTGTTTATGCCGGAGCGCTGCTTATGATAAAGCGATGATGTCATCTTTTCTTTCAACTTCAATCATCAATAGATGATATGGATTAGTATGCTAAGAATTATCATTTAGCAAATGCAGTTGTTTATACACTGAACCAAACTTCTAAGTGTTCACCTAACATTTTTTTAGTTTTAAAGAACAAATGCATACAATAAATAATTTCTTTAATTCATGGTTAATGATGCATATTTCAGTTCGATGTTACGTAAATTTCATGTAAGTATCTCGTCGGAATTTTAAGCAAAGTGTTAAGGTAATGACATACCCTCAAAATGAAAATTCACACAAAATAATCTCTATGGAGTAAGACCACCACTTGCTCTAATAATGGCATGACATCCTTTACTGTTGGATACCATGTACCCCTGAATAGGAGACTGACACCTCTGCTGCCACACCTACTGCATAGATCTTTGCAAACCATTGAAATTTTGTGGAGGGGAGGGCTTTGATATTCCTTTTAAAAATCCCAAATGTGTTCAATGGGATTCAGATCTGGGAATTTGACATTGCATCATCACACAGATGCCTTTTGGACAATATCCTTGCGCGTTTAGCACGCAAGTGCACCGCTTTAAGCATGATTCAGACTGCTTGAGCTGATATTTGACTGTCACGAACACCGATTTCTTATCATTTTCATACGATTGAAATTGTTTGTTTTCATGTTTCTAAGATTGTTTCAGGACAATTAAACACTCATTTAACCTGGTGTGACGCGAAAATTTGACCTCAGACGAAAATCAAGGTCACTTCCGGTTTGGTTAAATTTTGTCCAAAACTTTCAAATTGTTATAAATTGGCGATGAAAAATGACGCACAGCCTATTGAAAAATGTGTTTTAATGGATTTTGATACGTGTTTTTAATTTTTAAAAGTAATATCAAGGACAATTAAGCACTAAAATAAAAGTAAGTAAAAGTGGTGCAATGATCGTCCAGAGATCAACATTCCAATGGCTCTCCCTTCTATCTCAATGGTCATTTTTCCAATGTTTTGTGTTTTTTAGTGAAACCAGTTTTTAGAATTTGAGAATGATCACAAAAAGATGCTTATTACACAGAACACGTGCCGCAAAGCACAGATTTATTGTTTTTCAAGCTTCGTCACGGAACATTGGTTTTCATCGGTGATAGTTTATTTTCTTTCTACAATTGTTGGATGACTCATTTGTTGTAATAATATGAAAATATCATACAATTCTATAAAGTAGTTTTTAAATGAAAACATTTATTAAAGTGAACACTTAGAAGTTTTGTTAAGTGTACAATGAATTTGTTTGCAAATACAGTCCGTTGCTGAATCAAATGTTGACTAACGTCTTTTTTGTTTATTTCTACGGATTTTTACGAAATTCTGGGCTTTCGTAGATTTTTTCTGTGCATTCGATCATGACAAGGAGTACAAGGCAGCTAGGTGTGAAAGTTGGGCAGGAAATAACTTTTCCCGGGAACTTGGAACTGTTAACACATGTCCATATATATGTGTTTCTTTGTATAATACATTTCGTTTCACTAAACTTTTCAGCCAGAAATTCACATTAGTTTCATTAATTTTCTAAAACCATGCACGCACTTCATCATTACCATCTCATGGGAAAAAATATCACTTACAATACTGACATGTACTATAATTTGAAGGGTTTTTTTAACAACGATGGCGAATGCGTTGTTGAACTTTTCTTCCTCTTTCTTTGTAAGAATATGTGTGTTTGTATACATGTACATGTATGTATAAGGAAATATATGCACACACTTCTTGACCCTTGAATCACTTAATTGCTTGGTACTGTTCTATTTATGGTTTAGGAAGAAATTCCAAAATCCTAAAACATCTGTTTTTATTGGGAATTATAAATGTTCAGAAATCATTTAAATTCTTCATATTTTCTGGAAAACTGACATCTTAAGAGTTACCCCCCAAAACACGGATTCTTGTCCTTGTTCATTTGTTGTGGTATTGTTGCTTGAAAAGGTAGGTTTCAAAATATTTTTATTCATATACATTATTAATTAATCTACATTATTAAACTGTAAGGAAAGTCTTAATTCTCATTTAAGTATGAGAATTGTAACATTAAATAAATTGTAATCACTACCACTAACTGTACACTCTTATTGGACTAGGTGATGAAAAATTCAATGATGCAATGGTACTTTTTGTCGGCTGAAAACCATACACATCATGCGTCGGAGAATCATGAATTGATTCTTAATGGTTCGATTCTAGAGATGAACCAAAACATGGCCTTGACCTTGCTTCCGGTGGTCATATACGTCACAATCATAATGATACTCGGAATCGTGGGTAATTTTGTCGTATGCTACATTTACTTTTTCAGATGGAAGAAGAAAACTGTGAAATATTTTATTGGATTCTTAGCAGCATACGACTTAGTAGCTTCTGTAATTTGTATGCCCATTGAGATAGCAATGCTTCAAAACCCCGTGACCCTAGATGATGCAAACCTCTGTAGATTCGTGCGATTTACTCGTTCTGTGACGTCACTGGGAGCCGGATTAATGCTAGTGGTGATTGCAGTTGACCGATACATGAAAATCTGCAGGATGACAAGTAGACATATTAAGATTCCTTTCGCAAAGAAATTATGTGTGTCAACAGCAGTAATTGCTTTGTTATTTTCGTGGCCATGCCTCATCATATTCGGCCAGACCAACAGAATAAAATCCCCCATTGCAGAGACAGCATGTTCCATCGACAGAGGATATTCGGACACGCCTTATCCGACATTGTACTACGGCATGGTTTCTGTTCTCTTTCTGATAATATCATTGTGTCTGCTCATATTTTACTCTTTAGTCTTGAACAAATTGTGCAAACATTCAGCTACAGGAATAAGAAAAAGTAAATTTACCCTTGAGAGTAACAGTAATAATGTATCATCCTCTCCAGAAAGTTTTCAAAATGATTCTTCTTATCTCAGTATAGAAACTAAAGATTGCCCGTCTCCTGTTGATCAAAATTCTGAAAAATTTCTCAAAACAAACACCAATGCAAATGTTTCTACTCTAAATCGACCTTCCACTCAAATTCGAATGAAAAGAACTACGTTTATGTTGTTGTTAATTACACTCATACACTGGGTGAGTTACTTTCCCTATTTCGGTTTGCTTCTTGTTAAGACGTTTAATACCCAGTTCTTGCAAACTATGTCCACTAATGACCAAGTCCTCTACAATCTCGGAATACTGTCTCATTTCCTCAGTAGTGGAATCAACCCCTTTGTGTATGGATTTTTTAGCCAAGATTTTCGTAAAGAGCTTCAAAGGGCTATTCTAACAATAAAAGATAAAATAGCATGTTAAGTTCCTTCAGCAAGATTTTGCAGGAGGATTACAATTAAATATATTCAATAGTAAGAATTTTTCAGAATATTATTTCAGTTATTTTACGTTTGTAACAGGAGAAAGTTGTTATCAACCATATGCAAAAGAGAGCAACCAACGCTGAAGTATCTGAAATAAACTTATTTTGTAAACAGATCTTAAGACTCGTGTTCTTTAACTAACCGATAAATGAATAATTCCTTTTTCCCCTTACTTCGACTTGACCTTTGACCCGTGTATATATAGATAAGCTACAATTCTAGCACTTAAAATATGCAGTTACACCTTCGCAAGTCAAAAAATATTGGTCAGAACATTCCCTGTTCAAAAGAGGCTGGTACGATAAATCCCTCCTTAATGCTAAATCTAGAGATTAACTTTGCCTGTTGTCCTATCAAATTTACTTCAAAAATGTTTTCTTATATCTTGGTTGTAAAAAAACCTTTTGTAAAAGCACTTAGAAATTTTACTAGCTTAATGTTCATCTCCTAATTATAGTATTATTTCAGTTATATGTCATATTTTTACTCTGACACACATGTTTATTCACAACATTTTCTCATGTGATATTAAACAAGGAGTTAAATTGTTTTCAGTCGTTTGTACTCATTCCATTTGACATATACATGTACTAGTACATGTATATAATGTATTGTTAACGACTCTCTAGTTGAAGGGGTTAGATCTCATAAATCTTTGTCCTAAGAACAATGTCTTCAAGTAATATTTATTAGCCTTCTTATTATTGTTTATATTTAATAGACGCATTTCTTTAATGGAAAAATTGAATCTCTAAATAAAGATTTATCCCATGCAAAAACAAACCTCTTCTGAGAAGTTATAATTGGTCATACTGTATTGGACATGCAGTCTCTTTATGTATGCCGCAGTGGAGGATTTAAGGGGGCGCACCCAGAGCGCGCCCCCCATAAAATTGTCAAAATTAACGTAAATCACAGTCTCGTCTACAAAATGTAAATATGTATACTTGGTAGACCTCATTTTTACCCTACAAAATCTCTAGAATCCAGGAGCTTCCGGGGCTTCGCCCCCTGGGCCCCATCAGGGCTTTGCCCTGTACCCACTGGGGGCCTCAAGGCGGCCCCCAGACATCTTGCCTACTTTGGGCACCCCCGCTAACTTCAATTCCTGGATCCGCGTCTGTATGGAATCATGTTCTATAGCAATTTTGAAGTATATACATCGATTCCTAATAGTAATACATGAAGTAAACGAAACTATAAAAAAAATCTTCAGGGTGGGGGAATGAAAAGTCTCATTTGATAGGAATCCGTATAAAACATGTGGTTAATATGATAAGTTTGCCTGTATTTTTTTTACAATGAAATATATGAAGATAACGAACAGTATTCAAGCGCAAAAGTCTGTACAATACAACAATACAAAATAGGAGCAGAGCAAACACGGACCTTTAAAACACCAGAGGTGGGATCAGGTGCCATGGAGGAGTAATCATTCCCTGCCGACCGGTCACAACCGCCCTGTGCTCCTTGTCATCATTTGGAAATAACAGAAAATACGTCAACAATTCAGTGTGTGTATGTATAATTGTCTGACAATATGTTTAAAAAACGTCAATCATCAATTGACTAAATGAAAATAATTGCTGACAAAGTCATTGTATCGACCACATAACTTACGAAAAGGTGACTTTAAACAAGACTGCTGATAGTCTTGTTTCAGCATCTTAATTGTCAATAAATTTAGTTTTACCTCGTTTTGAAAATTATGCATACGTAGAACATGCTCCTGCGTATCGAATTACTTAAACCCCATATGCAGGTGATGAAGGTATTTTGCTGCATAAGTAAAAGAAGTTGACCATTGAATAATTTGAACATATTTTATTGCATAAATACTATACAATTGAATGCTATTAGGTTACCATTAATGTCCTTTTCAAGTAAAATATCTAAATATGAAACAGATGAGTCAAACTCTGTGGTGCCTTTTATTTCAAGTTCACCGGGATGTATCGTATCGACGTAAGAAAGGAAATAACCATTGTTAATTGACAATACGTCGTCAATATATCTATAAGTGTCAAGCTGAGGGTCACAACAAGTGTTTTCTTCTTTTCACGTTTGAGATTTTGGTGAATTCTGCTTCATATGAATACAAAAACAGGTCTGCTAAAAACGGGGTGGGCGCAATTGGTAATCATGAGAATTACAATAGACTGTTAGAAAACTGGTCACCAAAAAACTATAAAGATATTGCCAATCAACTCAAGCGTCTTTTTAATATCAACATCAGAGTACTTGATTGTACAATCAGAATGTTTTTAACCAAACAATTTTGCAAACGACCAGTGACAAGTTGAGTCAATTTAAGAGTTCCATTTTTTTGAAAAAGCAGCTTTCATTTATATCAAAAACCTTGACTTTAATTTATAGTAATTTTTTAATGCTGTTCATTTTGGTAAAATTTTGTGACTTCAAATTTTCCAGATTTGAAGTCAATATATGTCCTTGGAATTTTTTAAGCATCCACATCTGATTTACACCACGTCTCGAATACATGTATATTATTGCACAATACTCCTGAAGTTTCTCATTCACTCCTGTTAATATCTTTTAGTGAGGATTCAAGAGGCTTGGTAGATATTTACTGGAACTCACTATATAGTTTGTAAGGATTTTTGTGAAGTTAGGGAATCCTATATATAGATATGGTTAAGTAGTTCAAATTCATTTTTATAAAAAATATTTTGAAAACTGACAAACTGAAGAATTTCCTCCTTAGAAAGGAAGCTATGAGTATAACTAGGATTACCACTTGTAGATTTAAATACAGGAAAAAAAGTTCCTCTAAAATGCATTTTATATAATGAGCCTTACAAACAAAGACAATGTTGTTACCTGCAATGTTATTACACTGACCAGTACGTACCGATCGTGTAATCTAAAAAAGTATCTATTTCTTTTCACTTCTGGATTATTGAAGTAAAGGATAGATGGTTTTCCTACTGCCTTTCAATCGTTAATGCGCGATTTGAACATATATCTGATATTTAATCCATTCCGGCAAAGTCTAAAGGTCTTTTTTTCATGTCTGGTCCATCGCCTAGCGTAATCTTCAATAGAAGCCATAATATTTATGAAATTCCGACGCCAGTTGAAGGATCGGGGTTCCCTGTATTAGGACCTTTTAAAATTAGTTACTAAGATTCTCACTATATTTACGTCACCAGTAATAACCAGGGATGTCAACGAATATTCGAATACTCATTCGATAAGTTGATATTCGAATATAAATTTGGGATTCGAATGTTCGGGGTTTTTTGAGTACACATTTATTTAAAGGAAGAAAAATCTGGCAAGTTTGAATTGAAATTGAATCAAAATCAATTGAAAATAGAAATGAAAAGAAATTCCTCTTGGAATATCTTAAGAGTGTGAAGAGTGCATCTATTAAAATTAACTATTCATTTGATCATTGAATTAGTGGTATAACAGTGTCTGTACATATAATAGGTTTATATTGTTGTAAGGACACAATTATATAGTAAACACATGGATCCCTAGTTCATGTATATATCATTAAATTAGATTATTGTTCTACGTGGTCTAAATTTGAAGGAGTTATCAGTGTAGTCTTTGGTATGAGAATCAATTAATCTTCATTTTTCAATTTTTTTTTTATTTTGGATGTATACCCTTATTATATTCTATTAGAAAAATTCAAAAAATATAATTAAGATACTTTAATTACTGTACATTTGAAATTCTACATAGAATTTCATTCCAAAATAATGCAATAAATCGCATATCGGTCGACAGGAGTGTAAAGATATATATCTTGTGTATGGGTCATTTTCAAAAAATGTCCAAATTCCTGTTATACAAGCTTTTTTTGAAAATTTTGCAATAAAAATCAAATTTTTTTTTACCCGATGGATTTAACAACAATCTACAAGTGTAGAAAAAAATTAAGTGCGATTAAAAATTGACTTGAATACTGAAAAAAGTCCTTCAACCTGAGTAAAATTAAAGAGAATTGCTTGTGATTTGGCCGGATGTTTGACTTCAGCTCTGATTATTGATGTTGTAAATATAATTAAGCAGTGTAAAATGACCTTTATTGTGTTGTACATGTTTAATACTGTCTAAATGCATGTTAAAATGTGAATGAAAAAGAGTAAGAATATGATTTTTTTAAAGTTAAGTGTGTGTTATTTTGGCCGTGTCCTTGGAGTTACCAGGACATAAAAGTTATCTGTAACAGTTATCTTTCCTAAAGAAACTCTTCACTATCAGCCTCCTTCTTTTGGTCTTGTTCCCGCCAAAATATCATGAGACACTTTACACAGATCTTTTATACCACAGGCACAATATGTGGTTGAAGGCAAGTTTGATTGCAATAGTAATTTATTTTTGAGTCCTAGGAGTTACTTCGATATTGTGATGATAAATTAATTTGCCATTTCTTTGATGCATTGAGCAAGTTTATAACAAAATACCTATCATCTAGGAGCTGTGCTTTATGTTCATAAGTCAGTTATTGCTTTTATACTTCCAATTATTTATATAATAATTCCCTGGTGTTACTGTCCATTTTGTTACTGCAAGAAAAGTTACTCTAAGGATGTATCTAGTTACTCCATGGGCAATTTACATAGAAAATAATTAAAAAGAATGCAAGTTGGAGTCATATGTTTTATTTTCCTCCCTTATTTAAAACTATCCAGTAACTAATTTTGTTTTAAAATGCCAAATTATTTACTAAATGTTTTTATCATTTGAAAATCATATGATTTTGCAGTCTTGGTTATGCAAAGGACAGAATTGGGTAACTCCGCGGACCAATTGAAAAAAAAAAACCCTTTAAATTCCCAATTTTAATACAACATTTGTGTAAAGTTTATTACAATATAAAATAACAGAAATATTTTTATCAAATTGGCATTTATTTTTCATATTATGTTTCCATGAGCTATAAATTAATTCAATAAATAATTTGAGTAACACAAAGGACAATGTTAGGTAACACAATGGATGTAAAAACGATTAAATATTTATGTTATTAATATACTCTTGCATGTTCTTTTGTTTCTGTAGGAAAATATACAACTTTTATTTCTTTTGAATAAATTGAAATATCAAAATTCA